GTAATTCCGTCCAGAATCTTTTATGGCCGCGCGGCGAGTGTGCGAAATTGGCCACAAATCGTGCGCGAAATTGTCGAAATGCGAAAAAAAAGAATGCTGAAGTCAGGCATTATCGACTGCCGAATACCCATTCATAATCTAAATCCATTTGATCCGATTTGGTATAGGTATATGTATATACTAACAGGTATATATGCATTACTTGTATGCAAATTTGTATCAATAACTGTACAATATGCTGTTTCCCGATTTGCTACGCCCCCTATGGGCGTAGATATATTATATATTCCATATGTTTTTGAGCTTGTGTTGTCAATATTCCAAATATATTTCCGTTTTCAACTCTCTAAAACGTTCATTACCAAAATTTCTGAACTGCCACTCCCCCTATGGGCGATTCGGGAAAATCTTGGCACGTTATACGCCATATGTTTTTGAGCTTCTGTAGTAAATATTCCAAATATATTTCCATTTTCAACACTCTAGCCAAAATTCCGGAGCTACCAGAAAAAGTACTTTTCGATGTACCACGCCCCCTATGGGCGATTCGGGAAAATATTGGCACGTTATAGTTTGACTATATATTGTCTGTCTTCAATCGCTACGAAATTAATACGGACAAGCAGCAAAACGGACGGATATTACGCAAAACCTATATAACCACTGCACTTTCGTGAATGGGTATACAAAAAGCAAAAACAAAAATGATAAGAAGAAGTACAAATACCGTGTGCTACACACACTTCTTAACATCACTTAAATTTCTATGCTGAAATTTTCGCAATTAATTTATACATTTATTGCTCATATTTCATAAGTACTTGTTGTTGTTGTTGTTGTTGCTTTTAGAGCTCTTGCGGCTGAGTCTTTGCTCTTATTAAAATAGAATTGCTACTCAATTAGCATATTTAAATGTTTACTCTATGAGTTAGATTGTTTTAGATGAGATTTTAGGTGAGATTATTGGACGGATGATTAGATTTCTCTAGATTGCTCTATAGGTATTTCTATATAAATCATCAACTTAACTTACTTTAACTACTAAGTGAATGAGGCATTTGAATACACTCATTCTTTTTTTTTCTTTTTGACAACCCTAAGTAACCGCTAGCATTAATCAGAGTACAGACGGAAAACCTGCTCTACCTATGCTTCCCATTTTTGAAATTGATCTTAACATTATATATGCATATCATTTAAAATGACCATTTTCTTGAATCATATTAACATCTGTCTGGACTCACTATATACTATACAAATGTTACGATTATATATCATATGATTTAAAATACTTTGTAAATTTTAATAAATATGATTACATTTAAAAAAATATATTTTTCAGTATTATTTTATTCTTTATTTTATTTTTGTAATTTTTGGGATTATATTTCAATTGAAATTGTTTTTCAATTTTTATAATTATTGCACTAATTATTTTAATTATTCAATAGTTATAATAATTCTACACTTTCATATTTTAAAAAATTTTAATTATTATTTTTTAAATAATTTTATTTTGTTTAATATATTTAGGTATTAAAATATATTTAAATATTTTAAAAATATCTTGATATTTTTAATTAATAGTACATTTATTCTTATGTTTAATTATAATATCTATTATATTATAATATATATTTATTTAATTTTAAATTTTATGTATTTAATTATTAAGTGCTTAAAAATTATATTACCAAGTTTTTAATTAAGTATGCTGAAAGGTGTTTTGAAGCCCAAGAATTCGCCTAAGTATTTGGCCTTAAGATATTACTCAGTTCTATCGCTTCCCCTAGTCCCCCGTCGTCGCTTTTCAGGCAGGGAGTCTTCAATGAGTTTCCCTTATTCCTCTTCAATTTCTATTCAATTTTTACCTCAGTTACGCATGGAGTAGTTCATTGCTGCCCTTTATCCAGTTCTCAAACTATTTTTTGCTTCTTTTCTCTCTATTCCTCTATTTTTAATTTTTTTTTTTTTTATCTTTATGTGCCTCCGACACCATGCCAAATGGGCTGTCAGATTTAATTGAAATTTAAATATGACACAGGCCAAATGAAATTGTTTTAATTCACGAAATGAAACGAAAATATTCCACATTAATGAGCGAAGGAGAGATTTACGAGTGGACTGAGCGGTTACTCAACCTGATTATGAATAGATATCCAAGAGTGTATCGTTACTCAATGGATGTTAGCAGAGTTTTGTATACGGTATATGCTCAATATGAATGCTCTTCAGTTATTAATTTCTTTTTTGTGAATTTTTGGCCCGCAATTCCTTGAAGCGTATGCAAATGTCGGCTATGTTTTGCTTTGTCTGACTAATGTGTGTTCTCTTCTTCTGCTGCTTCTTCATCATCATCTTTTTCGTTTCGTTTTTTTTTTTTTTTTTAATTAAAATTTTTTTAGATATATAACATTAGCACTTGGCACTGTCAGAGCTAAGTACTTGGAAATGGCAATTAAGTGTTGGCTGGAAAAACATTTGGCCCACAAAAACGCAGCCACTCGATAAATGGCCACTTCACTTTTCACTTCATCTGTTTGTGGTGGGCTCTACGCACACACACACACACACACACGCAAGCAGCTGTTAATTGGAAATTGATTTGGCCATATGCATTAGTTGATACATTTATAATAATGCTTTTCAATTGCGGCCCAGTCAGAAACTGGCCAAGAAGAGAATCTGTTTTGCCAACTGTGGGTGGGTTGGGTGAGTGGGTTGGCTGTTTGGCTGTTTGAGTTGTGTTAGCGTCAAGACGCTTAACGCACCAACAACAACAGCAACAGCCAAGCAGCTAAGCACCGAAAATAAGCGTTGCTGCCACACAGACAAGCCGCACGAGGCACTCAAGTAGCTGCGAGCTACAACGACGACGACGACGGCGACGACGACGGCGACGACGACGGCGACGACGACGGCGACGACGACGGCGACGACGACGGCGAGAAGAAGGCACATAAAAACCACTATAAACTTTATTAATTTTAATTAAAAACACTACACTCATTCTGAGAGTTAAATTCCCGTGCACATCTCTTGCCTGTGTGCGTGACCATTGGGTAATGTTTCTGTTCACTGTTCACTGCTCTGCGCATTTTTTTTTTTTTTTAATTTTTGTTGTTGTTTGTTTGTTGCTTTGCTGTTTTGTTGTTTTCCTTGCTGCTGGCGTCGCGCTGCGTGTTGTAAGCCACAGAACGCGTCCTTTGGCCAGCAGGCGGTGAGCAGTTAAAAACAGGAAAGCCCTCCTCTTAAATGTCTGCGTGCAGCCAGATGAACTTTGAATGCTCTCGTCCGCTAGCATTAATTAGAGTACGGACGGAAGACCTGCTATACACGGGGCGCATATTTCAAATTGATCTTAACATTATGCATACTAAACATAATATATAATATAAATAAAATTATTAAAAGTTGCCTGAATTTAGAGAACAGTTCAACTTGATCATAAATTATATAAGAACAAAAAATAATATACAAATTATATTTATATTCATTTTTTGTATTTATTTTTTGTTTTTTAAATAAATGTTGACTTGTTTTGCTAGATTAAAAAAAAAAATATATATATATATATATATATATATACATATTTATTAGCATTTTATAAAGTCTGGACTCAGTGAACAATTGAGATTATTCATGAATTATACATTATAAAAAATGATATGTTTATATAGCATATGGCTTTACATTATTTTTTAATTTTAATGGATAATTTTAATTTTTTTTTTTAAATATTTTTCATTATTATTTTATTCTTTTAATCTTTTTTTGTTTAATTTTGTGATTAAAAATTATTTGATTTAAAATTGTTTTTCAATTTTACTAATTATTACACTAATTATTTTATTTATTCAAACATTTTAATAATTCTACACTTTCATATTTTTTAAATTTTGTGACTATAAATTATTTGATTTAAAATTGTTTTTCAATTTTACTAATTATTACACTAATTATTTTATTTATTTAAAAATTTTAATAATTCTTCACTTTCATATATTATTAATAATATATATATATTTTTAATAATTTTCTTTTGTTTAATATATTTATCTATTTAAAAAATTGCTTGAGCTCTAAATATTTTTATTTAATGGTACATTTATATTTTTATGTTTTATTGTAATATAAATTATAAATTTATTTTATTTAAAGTTGTATGTATATAATTATTGAAAATTTAAAAATTATATTACCAAGTTTTTAATTAAGTATGCTGAAAACAATTTTGAAGCCCAAGAATTTGCTTTCAGATTTCATTTGAAATTCACCAAGCTAGTTTTCATCCGATCTGTCAGATTCCTGTCATATTTCTATCGTCATCTTATAGTACATATTGATGGCTTGGAATGTGGGCATAAAATGCTAGGAACAGCCATAGATGGATTGAAATCTGAATTCTGAATTGAAATTCATAATATTCAATTTTATTTAATTTTAATTTATTTAAAACTTTTTTTCATAGTTTTAATTTTATGCAAAAATTTATACAACTTATATTTGTTTATACTATTTTCGTATATTGGCCATATTTAGTCATGGCATGTGGCATGCCCCGATTAATTAGTGTATCATAATGAAGAAGCTGCAACTGAAAAATCTGGCCAAAGTTTTCGCTGAAAAGGCGTAAGACGTTTAGGGGCGGATTGAGGTGGGTTGAGCTACATTCGGCTGGCCACGGCACAACGGCTGATGACTAACAGCTCAAGGCGAGGGATCGTTGGGCGAGTTGAAGGGGGTCGGGGCTGGGGCTGGGGCTGGGGCCGGGGGCTTTGGTTGAAAGTTGGGGTCGCCACTGCGAGCTTCTTATTTATTGTTTTGGCGGTGCGCGGCAGTTGGCCGCTTAATGCCATAAAAAACAAAGGTGCCATGGCGATAAACAATAAAGAGGATACAGATGGGGGTCGCTGCCAAACATTTTATGCAAATTTATGGCTTAAACACAAATTTTTTTCTTTATTTTATTTAATTTTTGTTTTTTTTTTTTTTTGTTATTTTGTTTTTATATGTATTTTATTATTATTGTAAAATAGCAAGCGTTTTGCACTTGAAGCCAAATAAAAACATCTATATACATAATAAACGAAACAGAATATAAATATACATATATAGCATTTAGCACACAGTCTTACTGGATGAGGAGAGGGGAGGGAAGAGGGGGAGGGGGGGTAGGTAACAACAGCTAGGGTCTTAGTGACTATTTAGAATCGTTAGCGACTCTCAGCTGGAGTCCCGGTTGAGGCTTTTGAGCGGACCGAGCTGACTGAGCAGCACCGGCAACAGAATCAGGCCATGGGCCGCACCGATGAGCACGATGCCGAGGTACATGCGAAAATAGAAGATCTGGAAGACCTGCGACTTGGAGAAGGCCAGCACCACGATGCCGGCGAATTTGGTTAGCGTAATGCCGGACAGGACACTGCTGCCGGTGACGCTGAGCGCGTGGAACGAGCGCTGCTGGGCATTGCCTTTGGCCTGCTTGAACGAGCGCACAATGTGCGATACGAACTCCACTCCGATGCCCACACAGACGACCAGATTGACCAGCGAGATGGCGTTGAGCGATATGTCCCAGGCCCACATCATTCCGCCCATATTAATCACAATGCACAGCACCATGAACAGCACGATGAGAGCCGACGTGATGTCCAGCCCGGTCAGCAGCAGCGTCACCACGAATATCGCCGCCAGCGAGACGCCCAGCGAGACGAGGGCGTCATCCCAAATGGTTAAATACTGTTCATAAAATATGAAGAACACACAGTAGGGAAAGACCTCTGTGTCGATGCCGTTGCGGGCGAACATCCCATTGATGTCGGACTGAACGCGACGCGCCTCGCGTAGCGCCGCCACAAACTTGTCCGATGTGGTCGACGTCGTCGAGTACTGCATGAAGTGGGTGTCCAGAATGGTAGCCATACCCTCGTCATTCAGCGTATAAATGACGGCCTGCAAACAGAGAAGAAGAAGCAGAGAAATTTTAGATATCTCTATCAGAAACTATTGTAGTATGAGTGCTCTAGTCGACATTAGCCACATCAATAATCTCTAATCTTTTATATGGGGTATTTCTGAATTTCAGGTAAAGAGGGGGGAGTGGGTATTTCACATCTCAATTACAATACTTTTTTTCTATTTTCTTCTCTCTCTTCTGCATATGAGGTTTTAAGTCTCTTAAGTTCTATGTCTATCATCGTTATGTCAAATTATCCATATTTTTTGGAGCTTGTTTCAAAGTATAACAAGAAGAAAAATTCCATTAAAAACTACAAAATACATAAAAGTCAGAATATAGTAACCGACTTTTGAAGGCGATATTAATCGATAGCATAAAAAACTCTAGTATTCTAAATAGGTTTTACCAAATTTCGAGCTAAATGGATAGCACTCAAAGTTACAAAACTTTTTTTTTCCCCATTTCATTTAGTCTATTTTATTCGTACACGGCTCTATATGGCATCATTTTAAGCCTATTCCGAGTTTAAAATGTCAAATTATTTTTAATTTTGGGGATGCTCTAAAGTATAACAAGAACAAATCCATAATATATGTGTTAAAGTAAATGCAAAATATTGGAAGATTTAAGCGACTTTTAAAAACGATATTAATCGATATCATCAAAAATTAAAAGGTAGTAATATTATTATTTTTTTTTTTAGATGAATTTTACTCTTTAACAGCCTAACTTAGTCACCGACTTATGAAAACGATATTAATCGATATAATTAAAAAGAATATAGCTTAGAATTCTTTGGGCAAATACAATATAATATAGATCCCATATGGGAAACATCAATACAAATGTACTATATAGGAACATAATTTAGTCATAGACTTATGAAAACGATATTAATCGATAGCATTAAAATGGATATAGCTAAGAATTTTTTGGGTAAATATTATATAGATCCCATACAGGAAACTACATACAATAAAAATTCCAGCTTCTAGCTCTTGGAAATTCTGAGATTGTTGCGTTCGCAACAACAGGCGTATGGAAAGCTAGTCGTACAATGCTCTATCGAATCAACTCGTCAGCCTTATCAACACTATAAATACTTATTGCCGCCTGCTCTCCGCTGCATACATTTAAGCTAAATAATTATATCCTGATCTCTCATTTTCAATGGGATCGGAGTATAAGGAGATAAACTATGGTTGATCGGGCTCTACTTACGTCCGCATAGGAAGGTCGACCCGCCTTCGCGCACTCAGCATCGGGCAGATCGGAGAGAAACAGCGGCACATACTTGTCGAAGGTCTCGGACGTGGGTCGGAGACCATTTTCGGTGAACTCTCGCTCGCATGGATAGCAATCGTCGCTCTTGGAGTCTGGGGGTGGGAGGGAGTGGAAAGATCTATTAGAGCATTTGCATATCTCGGGCCCACTTCTGGGACTTACTGCTCGGACAGAAGCTTCCCGTCGTGGCATTGATCTTGCAGCAATCGGGAATGTTGAGCCAATCGATGTAATCGTCGATCCACGACGAGGCCGGTCGTGCCAGCGATGTGATCTGCGGATAGCGTGACTGTATGTACAGCTGGACGGAGAGCGAGTCGTCGTTGCACTCCACGCCGCCGCAAATGAAGTTCTGATGCGTCGGATTGCTGTAGTTGAGGCCCGGCTTGAGCACCCAATAGACGGGCGCACCCATGGACAGCAGCTCGTCCATGTAGCGGAAGTACTTGACCACGTGCGAGTCCTGCGGCATGGACGTCTCCTGGTCCAGGCCCGGTTCGATCGAGGGCATGACCATCAGCGAGAGCGCCGTGACCACAGTGAACACCACCATCACAATTATCTTGACGGACCTGAAAAGCAAAGCGAATGGAATGAATGCACTGAAATGGACTGGACGATCTCTGGCCGAGTGTTGCGACTCACTTGGAGAGCAGGAACGGAGCATAGAAGTTGGTGAAGAGCTTCTCGAGCACGCCAATGTCATGTGTGGCGCCCGGCTTCACGTTGCTGCGCACACAGCAGAACAGATCGAGCCGTCCGCTCTTGCGGCGCCTCTCATCGATGGCCATCAGTGCGACGAACGCTGTGATCTGCAGCAGGAAGTCGAGCAGAATGGCGATCGCTGCGTACATGGCGAACGTCTTCACCGCCGGCATCTCGGAGATGGCGCCAATCGCGAAGCAGGCGAACTCGCTGCAGGCCGTCTGGAGAATGGAGGGTCCCACCTGGCCGATGGCCTCGCCGATCGCCTCATGGGTGCTGGCAAATTGAGTGTGATCGAGCCGCTCATAGGTGTGCACCATGATGAAGATATTGTCCACGCCCACGGCCAGCACCAGGAACGGTATTACCTCAATGGCCAGCATGGTGGTTGTCGCGCCCACATAGCCCCAAAAGCCCAAGCTGCACACAACCGACGCCATCACGATCACAATTCCGCTCACAGCCAGCATGATGCGTGACTCACGCAAAAAGCCCACACAGCTGCGTATGCGTCCGAGCGAGATCGCCACGTAGATGAACATCACCACGTAGCTGATGACGACGGTGCTGACCTCGCCCTCGGACAGCTCGACAATGGCGTCCTGTATGGAGCGCTCCGCCGAGTAGGCAATGTCCAGATATTCGCTCTTGTAGTCCTTCAAAAAGTCCACGAACAGTTTCTCCCATTTCCGGCTGATCTCCAGCTTCGATTCGTCCAGATGATTCTTGCCCAGAAATGTGAGCACCAAGGCCGTGGCCAGCATATAGTCGGGATCCTCGCCATTCTCGGCTGGGGGCAAGCCGCCCACAGCGATGCCCGGCTCGATGGGTCCGCCGTAATTGCTGAAGCAGTCCTCCATCATCGGAACGCTATTCAAAGAGAACATATATATAATTATATATAAAGCAATCTATCTAGCAACCCTATATCTTTTGTCAAAGACGTGCACAATACGCCGTACAGACTAGAGACGGTCACTTGAGATATATTATATTCAAAGAGCGATAAAGACAACATCTAATAAATTGTGTTTATCTTTGGGTCTATGGGTCCGTCGAATATGGGCAGCCTTGTGGGGTTGCCAGATGGGTCCGTCGCATATGGGCAGCTCTATATAATATACGTTTACCCATATGTACATATATATGTATATGCATATATTCGCTAGCTCTTATCGTGAAATATATATACAAAACTGTTCGAAGATTATTAAAGTTTATGCTGTGATTCACTTAGAGCTACATATATAGTGGGTTTTCCCTACGCCACTCTTCGACCTGTCACATTGCTGTTATGTTTCCATCTTGGACTTACCGCAAGCAATCCTCCAGCTGGTTGAGATAGTTGATAGTAAAGTTGTTGCTGTCCACATAGGAGCTATGGAATTTGTCCATGTCAGTCTGGAAGTAGCCATAGATGGACTGGATGAGACAGTCGTCCACGGTGGGCGTGAGGCCGGGATATAGGACGGGTGCATAGCAAATTTGTTCCAAGCTCACGCCCTCCTCCACGCCCAGCTTCATGATTTGCTCCTGCAGCTCGAATACCTCCTGAAGGAACTTTTGCTCATAGGCTGGACCGAAGGTGAGAGTTCCGCTGGGGGCTTCGTGAGTAAACTGAGGGAGGGAGAAACACAGAGGGAGAGGAAGAGAGAGAGAGAGAGAGACGAGAGAGAGAGAGAGAGAGAGAGAGACAGAGAGAGAGAGAGTGGAGTAGAGCAAAGGTTATCCGTGAAGGCCAACGGCGAATGCTTACTGTGTCTTTCTTCACCGGCTTCACGAACAGCTGATTGGTGCGATAGAAGGGTCCGAAGTGCTGATCGAAATAGTTCTTCTCGATGCGCGTGTTGCTCTCCTCACTGGCCCAGAGCTCGACGGGATCGGTGGTCACGTTCATGTAGCGTATGCCATAGGCCAGCCCCCCAATCACCCACGAGCAGATGGCCAGCACGAGCACCGGATGCTTCGCACAGAAGGTGCCCCACATGCGGCAGCCCTGATACAGAAATTCCCCGTACACTGTCGGCATGCGGATGTTGGGACCCGGACGGTCGCTGATGGCGCCATAGCAAATGAGGCAAGCGATCAGCAGGGCGATCACCAGAGCAACTATGAAGGTAATGCCGTACAGTCCGGCTATCTGCCAGGGATCCTCGTAGCCAGCCGGCGGATCGGTGAGCGGACAGGAGTCGTCGCAATCGATGCAGGCGCAGGCATAGTTGCCCTCATAGCTCTCGCCGCACTCCAGCGGAAATACGCTCAAATAGACATCCGTAGAGCCCGGCGGAGCATCCTCACTCCACGTATAGTTAATGACGAACGGCACATAGTCGTTGTTCTCGCCATCGCCCATGAAGTAATACCAACGGCGATAGTTGCACGTTTTGGCATTGTACGCACCGCAGCCGAGATCCATGGCCGGTCGGCCCGTCTGCGGATGCTGGATGCCGCTGCAGCTGTTGTAGATCTTCTGTACGGACTCGTCGTTTATGTAATAGTCGATGTGCTCCACAAAGTCCACATTATCGGGACTCTTTTCGATGTAGGGCTTCAGGAAGAGCGAATGATTCTTGGCGCAGGTCATCATGCAGACGGTTTGGGCCATATTCAGCGTGCATGTGGGACAGCGGCTGAACACACCGTCCGCTTGATTCAAGCCGGCGTCCATGCTCAACAGTTGATTGCCATCGCAGCAGAGCTCCAGCTCGTTATCGCCATTGGGTCCCTTGTATTCCGCATAGAGGACGGGGCAGCGCCTGATGAAGATGGCCTCAGCCTCTGGATCATTCAGCGGTAGTGCCGGTCCATGGTACTCCTTGTTCTGCCAGTGCTCTCCAATCTTATGGCTTTCGCCATACCAAATGCAATGGGGCTCGGCCACCATTTGCTGCACAGCCCACAATAATAGCAGGGCGACCAACTGAAATTTCATTTCCATTTCAGCAAACACACAACACAACACAGCAAACACACGCACACACAGAAAAAAAAAAGATTGAAGAGAAAAGAGCCCAAACAATGCGAAAAGCGTAAAGGCTTAATAATTTGATTCGCCACACACAGTTGACCAGGAGCCACTTGAAGCGCTCCAGCCGACCAGCTCGTTAGCTCGTTAACAACTGTTTAATCAATTGAAATTGAAATTGAAATAGAAGCCAGCGTGTGTGTGGGCATTACCATTATCAGACTAAAGTGCTCTCGGCGTGCCGTTGATAAGATTTTGGGGACTGATTTGGCGATTAGCCCCGAACACCGAGCTCCATTAACAACTAGCAGCGGCTTATCTGTCCAGCGGCAGATAAGCCATTCCGTTGCCGAATCGATTCCAGTCCCACAGCTATTGTGTGGGGCTCATATACGTATATACGTATATACATATATATATATATATATATATATATATATATTTATTGGATTAGCAACAATGCCAATTATGGTAATTGCCAGGATTGGATGGGATTAAAAATAATCATGAATAAATATTTAATTTTATTGTTGAACCCTTAGCAAATATTGAAATGGATTTCAAATAAATATATAGTAGATGATGGGGGGAGAGAAGAAGGGAGAAAGAGAAGTGACGAAGCTCTGTTTAGAAGGAGATAAATGTTAAGTGAGAAAAAGAAAACATGAATGAAACGAGTAGGGGCGGAGATCGAGAAAGACCCATATTTAAATGCGAGAGAAAGACACAGCCTGAGATTGAAAGAGAAAGAAGAAGAAAGAGAAAGAAGAAGAAACAAAGAAAAAAGAGTGTGATCGAAAGAATAAGATGTGAGATAAAGATAGAGATAGGGATAGAGATAGAGATAGGGATAGAGATAGAGATAGAGATAGAGATAGAGATAGAGATAGAGATAGAGATAGAGATAGAGATAGAGATAGAGATAGAGATAGAGATAGAGATAGAGATAGAGATAGAGATAGAGATAGAGATAGAGATAGAGATAGAGATAGAGATAGAGATAGAGATAGAGATAGAGATAGAGATAGAGATAGAGATAGAGATAGAGATAGAGATAGAGATAGAGATAGAGATAGAGATAGAGATAGAGATAGAGATAGAGATAGAGATAGAGATAGAGATAGAGATAGAGATAGAGATAGAGATAGAGATAGAGATAGAGATAGAGATAGAGATAGAGATAGAAAGAGAAAGAGAAAGAGAAAGTGAAAGAGGAAAAAAAAGAGAAAGAGAAAGAGAAAGAGAAAGAGAAAGGGAAATAGAAATAGAAATAGAAATAGAAATAGAAATAGAAATAGAAGAGGGTTTTTGATATAGAGAGAGAGAGAGAGAGAGAGAGAGAGAGAAACAAAAGAAGACGGAGAAGTGAAAGCGAGAGAGAGAGAGAGAGAGAGGAAGCGAGGAATATAAATTGTGGCTGTGAGGGATGTAAAGGGGCAGAGAGAAAGAGAGAAAGACAGAGAGAGAGAGAGGCGTGTAGACATAGACTGGCGAAGAAAGAGAGCGAGATAGAGAGAAAGAAAAATATAATATGACATGAGAGAGAGGGAGAGAGAGAGAGGGAGAGATATGAAAATGCGAGGTGGAGGAGGGCGAAAAGAGAAATTACCAAAATTCAGCTAAAGTAAAGTCCCACTTAAAAATAAAGTCCCACTTGAACTTGTGAGAATCGCATAGAAGGGAATCATTTAAAATGCGTGAATCAGAATACGTGAATCGCCCATTCGAAGAGGCTTTCATTAGACGGGAAGCCAGCATTTGATTTGTGTCAATTTGCGTGTAATTTATGCTATTTATATATACTATATTTAGTTGATATGGGCAAAGTAGCTGCAAATAAATAAATCATAGATGGGAACTTCCATTCATTCTGCGAACGTGTAATTAAGCCGTTGCTCAACTGCCAATTACAATGGGCAGCCACAATGGAGCATTTGGTTCCCAGTCTGGCAGTCAGACAGTCAGACAGCTTGAGTACTTCTATATGCTATGCAATAGATCCATAGACGAGGCTCAGGCATTAAATGCTTCCATTTGGTATTTGTTGTGTGAGTCACTTGGTTCAGTTTTTATCTGTTCTGTTTTTTTTTTTATTTTTTTTATTCATGTTTTAGACGGCCTTTTGTTACCTTGTGGAGCTGCCTCTGGGCGCTTTATAGTTTTTATGATGGGCAAGTGTTTCAATAGCTTTAAGACTCTGGCCACTGTCGGTGGCTTATCGGCAATGGGTCGAACAGGTGTTCACTTGAGAAATCGACAGCTAACGACGTTTCAGCTGAAAGCCAAATCATTTTATAGCGATTTGCACTTATCGCAAGCAGCTGCTAACCCACTCATCGACAGATCGCTGCCGATGCATACCTCAATACCGTCTACCAGGTGTGTGTCCGAAGCTCAGCGATAAGCTCTCGATATCCCAATCCCAAATATTCCACGAAAATTACCCATTTACCAGCATTACCAGGGGGAGCTCAAGAGCGAAATGATTATATCTAAGCAAATTCTTATCTAAATTTCGTGCAAGGTGCTCTACACTGTCGATGTTAATCGCATTATGGCTCCCCCAGCTGCCACCTTATCATACCTTATCGGTCTTTAATAATAAATAGCTCAATATTTATTAAATATCAATTTTCATTTCTTTTGATATTCCCGTAGCTCTGCATACACTACATTATGAGAGCTTGAGTAAATTCTCTTGTGGATGGACTTTCTGTATCAGACTTTCAGCATTCGATAATGACATCCATATGTGTATTGCTGGGAGGGGCTTGGCATCTAAAATAGAAAAAAAGATTTGATTTGATTAGATTTAGCTTAAGATTTAGATTTAGCAAATTGCCAAATTTTAAGACTCTAGCTCTCAAGATGAACGATATATGATTGCTTATCGATAACTTGCAATCGGGTATACTTATCGATTTTTTAAGAACATACTCCATCTGCGTGTGGGACCTACAAAAAAGCTAAGTCAATTCAAGTCTCTTGCTCTTTTAAGTATTTTATATCAAAATTTATACTCTGAACCCATTAAAAAATAGAAAATAGAAATACATTTTTTTTTTTTTTTTTTTTTTTTTTTTTAAAGTTATTATGAACAAAAGATTTTCCATTTTCAGTGGGTTACAATAGTTACTGGCGATATTTTGCGGAAAATGTATTTCCCGTGTCTTTCAACTGATCTTCCTTGGCATCTTTGCGAACTATCTAAAAGTCTTGAGCATTTCACATTCCTCTATCTTCTATCGTCTCTATTGCTTAAAACAGAAAAGGTAAGGAGGATAGAACAATCCAATTTATTTATAAACTTTTGGTACTTACACTTCAAATGACAACTTTCGCTAATCCAGCTATTGAATATACTATTTAATTAAAAGCTTGAGGAATTTGGGTGACACTACCCCGATATTTTCTATTGATATTTTCGATAGCCGCAGCAGGCGTTGGATTTCAAGTCACAGCTCAAAAGTGAGGCTCACGTCATCTATGGTGACGGATGTATAGTAAATCAAAAAGTTCAGTAAGATATGGAAAATAAGTTCAACCACTCGGAAGAAAAACATTTTATACACGTGGCAGCAACGACAAAAGCATCGGCAGTGTGGCATGAGCGAACGAGCACAACAAATAAACAGCAGGAGGACACGACAGAAACCGACTCGGAGCGCTTTTATACGCCGGACGAATTTGAGCTCATACCGCCCAATCTAATAATCCGTAGCTCAGCGCCAAGATCCCCAAGTGAGTAGCTCAGCAGCGTCGAGACGGTAGATGTAGCTGCGAAGCGGCTTAATTATCAATAGATCCCTCATTCTAGCTGACAACGAAGGAAACTGCATTACCAACGGCCACGCCCTAGCCGGCAACTACCAAGAACTGGTGCAAGACATCCAGTTGCATTTGTCGGAGCATAGAAGGTGTCCATTGCAGTCCGACGTGCCGGAGTACGGGCAGGAGGAGCATAAGAGCTACCGGATCGGGTTTGTGGAGCTGTTTCGTCAGCGCATGCACTACGACCGACTTGGCATTCCGTTGACATCACTCGAGCTGCTCTACATGGGTGACAGTGAGCGTGAGTGGCTGCGGCAGCACCGTAGGCGAGAGCGGGAGTACCGGCAGCAGCAGCAGAAGCAGCAACAGCAGGAGCAGGGGCAGGAGCAGCATCGCTACCGCGAACGCCGGTGCCGCAACAGCGGTACCCAAACAGATAGCAAAATGCTGGGCCGCCGGGCTCATCGCTTGCATGGCGGCAATGGCTGCATTTGCGGCTTCATCGAGGTCGAGCCGGGCAAATCCATGCTGAACTCGGAGCTGCGCGAGACTAGGGGACTGGGCAATATGCCGGGTAATATGAACGAGCATCTGCTGACGGTGTCGAGTCAGTACTTTGAGGCGGTCTCGTGCCAGCCCATTGGCTCGGACGAGCGCATGCGAAATATCTATCTAACGCGAGCGGAGCCGCCCGGCTACGTCTGTTGCGGCTGTCAGGCCATGCGCCTGCACAAGCGGCATCGTAAGCCCCAGCCGGCTGCGGCAGGGGCACCGGCTCGACCCACCTCGGTGCGTATACTGTTGCCCCCATCGCCGCTGCCGCCGCTGCGCTCCACGCACTTGGAGCATCGCAAGAGCCGGGAGCTGCGCCGCTGGCGCAAGAGGCGAGACGAGGAGTCCAAGATGCAGTCCTCGCAAAGGGGCACCTATCAGTTTCCCGTTAAGTACAAGAATAAGCCCAAGGAGCAGGTCAAGCAGCGTGCCCAGTGCGTGGATCTTAAGGAGAAAGCCGAGCTGAGCTACCTGCTGCGTCGCTCGCCGAAGAACCTCCACCTGCCCATGAAGATGGGGACGGAGCCAAGCGTCGAGGATGAGTCCTACGATGAGCTCGCCTCGAACGAGTCCAGCAAGGTGGAAGTGCTGCTGGCACCGGACACGCCCCGACTGGTGCTCAACGAAACGGAGATGTCCGGCATGATGCAGTCGAAGAGCATTACGTTCACGGAGAGCTCCTCTCAGGTGGACTCGATGCTGGGCATTGCGAATGCGGCTCGACTGTCCTTCGAGGCGGGCGATTTGCGGCACGGCTCCACGGACACCCTCAACGAGGTGTGGTGTGATCCGGGCATCTTTCTGGCCGTCCATACGCCACCGGT